TATTCAATTTTTTTTAAAATTTTGCCAAGCTGTGAGTAGTTGGATAATTTTTTTAATACAATCTGCTTATTTCAGCTTCAGCCTAATGTAAGCATACAAATCTTACAACTACACCCTTTAAGCTATGACGCTCTATTAGTAAGCGGGAACATTCCTTCGTTGTGGCAAGAATTCTTGAAGAGTTGCATAAAGAGTTAGTTAGTGGGCTGGGACGATTTCTCAATTTCATGAGATACCTTGTTCTGCTCCTTTCAATTAGTTTATCCTGTAAAATACCACGGAATATATGCATGTTTCACGGGGCGTCCTCAATTTTGGACTAAAACTTCTGCATTTTATTTATTTATTTAATAATTAGGAAAGTATTAGTACAATAAAATTTCCATACAGAAATAGGGTAAAGCACAAATAATTATTACTTAACAGATGCATTAACAAAAATAATAATATGAAAGAAATGTAAACAACTTATAAAACAATTAATAAATGGTCAGACTAAGTTAAATTTGGCATATATGTGTGTACATGTCGATCTTGAATTGCTTTTGTTAAATTTCCTCCTAAGGTTGGCGGGAAGAGCGTTCCATGATCGGTTAGCATTTACAAAGAACAGCCTTGTGGATTGCTGTGATTTATAAAAATATATTATAATATTACCAACTCTGGCGGATAGGGTGAAATATAACTTGAAACAAAGACAGCTAGGAGATTGAGTAACAATGAGTTTGCAAGAAAAATACAATTCTGGCTTTATGAATAATAGCCGATTTTTCAAAGACGAGATTGCTCATATTTGGAAAGCCTAAACACATACAGTGTGACATTATTAAACATAATATCAATTTTATGAGCGGACGCACTGTTATGTTGGCTGTATACTCGTACGACTTCAGAGTATATGATACCTGGAAGAATAATTTGCATAGCAAGTCGACATCTCGTAGCAGTGGGTTTATAGATAGCTGACCAACTTCGATTCTTTGAGAAATTAGACAGACCTTACTAACAATTGAATTTACATGATCCGTGCATATATCCTAAGTTTTTAATGTTGCTGACTAATTTTAAGGGACAATTATCTATGTATGATGGTCTACAAGGATGGTTCTTTTTAGTGACAGGTAGTACAGTGCCAATTTTCATTGGCCATCGACACAAGACGTGGTAACACAATGATTGATAATGTGCGTTTGTGCCCCACGAATTTAAGGTAGCATAATTTTAATAAATTTAATTGGTAAACCATCATTGGATTGGATGAAAATTTTATAATACACATTATATTCATTAACAGCTGAAATTGGAAAAGATTATCCCTGATATGTGAGGTGCACAGTTTAGAAGGAAAGCATTATTAACTTCATCTGTTTCTAAAGAACATTTAACATTCTCCTTTCAATAATCACCAAATTGTTAAATGTTACGCCATGAAACTTTTGTTTAGAGACCAGAATTTAGTTTCTTGTTAAAACTCTCTCTTTTTTCCCAGTATTTGGTGTTGAGTTGAATACCATTCATCCAAACTCGCTTTACAATTGCATTCATTGTAAGAGAGTTTTAGCCCAAAGCTCTTATTTGAAAGCCAAATTAAGCCAGCCACTTTTAATTTCCTATGTAATATTTTTGCTTTCATGTGGGCCTTGTATCTAAGTGTATACCGAGATATTTTACATCATTTGCTGCAGTAGCCGAGTGGTTAACATTACGTACTATCATTTGGAAGACCAGGGTTAAAATCCCGGAACAACCATTATCCAAAAGTTATAGAAAACTAATTTAAATAAAAAGTAAAGTTAAATTTTCTAATTGCGGTCGTTCTCGGTAGGGAATGTCAACCCCTCCGAGTGTATTTCTGTTATGAAATAAAAACCATCAGCTCTTAAAAATACAACACCGTGAAATGGAGGAGAAGCGCAATGTAAAAGTAATGTGTTTACACTTTTGCTAATCTTCTGTGCTTTCCCCAGTAAATATATTTCAGTTAAAATTGCGTCGATGTTTCCATATACATGATATACATATATGTATATATACATATATGTACATATATGATTTAAAATTATAACCTTCTACTTCTTTCAGCGCGATTTTACATTTTTTTCTAAGCTAAATTGCTCATCTTTTTGCTTTTAATAGACACGCGAAATCGTTTGAACATATGAGAAGGTGATGTTAAGAGCCGCATAGCGGTACCACAATGGGCCTATTGGCCTAAGGGCGTTGATTAATAGCCGTATAAACTCAGATCAGCAACGGTCCATATTTTTTATTTGAAAAAATAAATAAAGTAAAAAATCTATTTTGAAAATATTAACTTTTTGAGTTAAAAATTCAAATGAAAAGTAAACAAATAAAAAACAAAATATAAACGTAAATACAAAACATAAACAAACATTTTGACAGTATTAATTTTTAATTTATTTATTTATTGAATGAAAAAAGTTGAACTCTCAGTTCTAGTCCACCTTAATAAATTCGCCGTATTGCAAATTAAAATTAATAAAAAATGCTATCTCGAATTTGATTTTGCCATTATTTTTTGTGCTTTTTGCAAGATTTGACGCTTTGTTACACTGTGATGCCATCTTTTCTCCATTTTAATAAAAAGGAAATGTCTGTTGTCGTTTCTCGTTATAAATCATTTAGCGAATCGCATAATCGCAAGTGCAAGCGACAAAATTTGCAAGATTGTTATTCATTTGTCGAGTATCGAAAAAAGTTGCTGACTTCTTCCTTTTCTATTAGATGCATTGCAGACAAGGGTATTACATCTATAGCATACTCTATTAAAATTCGCATTAAATATTGATTTATAAGATAAAACAATGTTTTCAAAAATTGATTTAGCTCGTGCATATCATCAAGGTATAGATTTCACTGTTTACACTGATGATAAGCCACTTAGACATATTCTTAATTCTAGAGCAGTTAGATCTCCTCGTAAAAATAAGACACTCCAGTGTTCGAACAACTCGACGTCTCATTCAATCTAAATACTTAATATTTAATATTCGTAAACAAATTGATATTTGAATATCATCTTGCATTAACTGTCGAGAATCTGAAGTTTCTGAGAACACAAAAACTCCAATTCAAAGATTAATATATCTTCTGGAGGATTTAAACGTATTCATATGGATGTAGTAGGACCTCTTCCACTTTCAAAAGGAAATCGATACATGTTAGCGATCATTGACATACATACTCTATCTTTGGAAACCATGCAAATTTTTGCTATAAACGGCCGTTTAATTAAAACAAACATAATTTCTTTTGTGCCATCAGTCTAAGCATTACACCTGATTAACATGTTAGAAAGGCAAACCTGCTATAATAGTTCACTTTCACAAGCAGCTTGTATATGTAGCTTAACCTGAAATGAAAAGTCTAGTTTCACTGATCATGCTAATCTAAGTTGAGCGTGACATGTGGCCCTGATTACACCAATATGATGATGTTTCCTTTTTTGCTTTTTGGGCACAAAGAGTAGCTTATGACTGGTTAAAAAAAGGCCGTTCGAAATTTATGTAAAATAGTATTATGTTTATGCTATGCGAAAAAATAGAATGGACTCAGAGTTGAATATTTTGATTAATTTTATCATTTGCAATATCTAATCCATCACATTTGGACTTACCACCTCGACACGTTGCGCTTTCTAAACTGGTCTACTTAGGAGTGCTCCCGTCTTAACAGTCTGGCCATAAACGACAGTTTCGGCAAATTTTTTATTTCAATTCGCACACGTCTCCCACTTGATGTATATGTTCTTTACTCCTGTGATAAATCTCCGGGTTTTACCCTCTTGAAGTGCTCACCAATCTTCTATAGCTATGGTGGTTTAATCTCTCAATTTCGGAAACAAATTCTTGCAAAGATTTATTGGGTTTTCGGTTGTGATTATCCTGTTTTATACGGTATATTTGCCGCTTTTGCTCCGTATCATTGCGTCTTTCAAGGTTCCCATTGATGCGTCATAATCATCGGCCTCATTTTCAGGAATTTCGGCAGCAAACGTAGCAAAGAGATCACTGCATTTTTACTCGCTAAGTTATTTGCTGTAGTCGTCTGCTCGAAGATGTTTTACCCTGAGAGCGTTCTGATAGGTGGTTGGACGAGCAAACTACATTCAATGACTATGATCTCAATTGTTTACCTAAAATTCTCCTCTATATTATTTTGCACTTCGAGTTTATCCTGTGCTTGCTTAAGTTCTGTGTTGTCTTTGACCAAATTATCCTGGGATTGTATGAGCTGAGATGAAATTCACGATTCCTGGTCTTGCAGCTGCGTTGACATGCTGTCGTCCTGTGCCTTCATCTTTTGGAAAATACTGACATTAATTTGTGACATTGCAGCCAATATTCATACATGTAGATGATCCAGGACCTTTTTTTCAAGATGCTCTGAGTTCTACGCGGAAACAACAGCTACTCTTCGTACTCGTTAAATGCTTTCAACTTCCTTACGATCACGTAGACGTGATTTTAATTCGGCCTTATCTCCAGTCCATGATAATCCGCGTTTTGCCAATTCCCTTCTGAGAAGCAGTATTGTCAAATCCTGAATCTCAACCATTTTCTGTTTTAATTCTTTGGGATTTATTTAACAATCCCACTACTGACACCAATCCTTCGATTTTGATCACTGAATTGGTAAATACATATTATAAAAGTACCGTAGTTAGTGCAACCGAGTATCAAATTCTAGTCCTGCCAGCAGTGCGTGCTTCGCTCTTAAAACACCACAAAATATTTCTAAGAACTTAATTTGCCTATTTTTGCTGCATACATAAGTAATATCAAAAAAAGTTGATATGTAATTAATTAATTACTGTTACTATTTATTTAAAAGACTTGTCTCTCGCAAGAACCCTTTTACGTTTTATTGAATGAATTGTAGTGAAATAGACAAAAGTTGTTGAGGATTTAAATGGACCAACAGCTGCGTTGAATGTCTGGGTAAAGTGTTAACTGTAGTTAAGATTATTTTTTACGTACCTGGCACAAATTTTCCCCAAGACTCGGTCAAACACCCTATGACAAACGGAAGAGCATAGACGTATACACACATAACCATACATATGGCCTTGCCATGAGTCATTTTCCCTTCCATGGGTCGAGTTATGACATTGTATCGGTCATATGCGATCAAGGCGTTCGACGTAGATGCACCAATGCCTGTAAATGCGCCGAGAATCCCATATACTTGACATCCAAAATTGCCCAAAGCGAAGCCTTTGTGAAAGCTGTTATAAATAAACACGGGCGTCTTCATCATCATGAAGAAATCACATATAGCCAAATTAATGACAAAAATATTAGAAGGCGTTCTCAAAGATTTGGCACTTGAAAATAAAAAAATAAAAATATTCGTTAGTAAAAATCTCAATAAATGGCTATGAAGTAGTCTCACGCAGAGAAAATGTAGACCACAACACCATTGCCAGCCATCGACACGGTCGTAAAGATAAGGTACAATGTGCCAAGTATGTAATGATAATGGGCTGGTGGTTCAGGGTACTTTAGCCAATGATCGGGTATATGACGCATTTCTTCGGGTGGGACATTCCAACCGATTAGACGTACATCTGTCGACATTCTGTAAGTAAATACAATATTATTAAGATAATGGAATAGAAGACTACTTTGTCTGAGCCAAGTACCTTGCTTCGGCATGAAGAGTTAATGCTGTCGAAAAGTTGCCAAAAGAATTTTGTTCGCTATATGAATGTCCCCCAACCGTATCCATAGCAACATATGTTGTAATCAATAACTATTAAACCAAACCCAAGTTTGTAAGGAAGTAATTTAGGCAGCTAAATATACTTTATGCTCTCGTTCTCACACTGCACTTTCACTGGTCAACGATGACAGAATTGCGCTGATTTGATGAAACTGCTTTTATACTAATACGGTTGGTAATGATTTGTTCAAAACGGATTAGATTAGTCGCTTGTGTACGTTAGATTAGCCCAGATTGGTAATGGAAAAGTTAGCGTCAAGAATGCGCTGACATGCTGTTTTGATTTTTTCTGCAATAACGATGACCTCTTATGACATTCTCTTGGCGTAGAGAAGCACTTGTACGCCCCATGTTTTTAATGTACAAGTTCATCCGAAACATTTTTCTAGCCCTTAGTGATGCATATGTATGTATATAGAGGATATAAGTTTTGTCCATCATTGAAGCTATATTCTCTCTGTCATATTAGAAGACTTGGATTGACACAATAAAAATAAACGATACAAAAGCATTAAATAGGGATCCGATATTTAGTTTTCTTTTGATTTTACATTTCAAGTAATTTCATTTTGGTGATTTATTATTTTATTTTTTTATTATGTTTATTTATTTTTTATCTTCGTTACACAAGTCCCTACAGTTTATAAACTCGCATCTATGTACATATGTTTTCATAAATTTTGATTTTAATGTTTAAATGTAGAATGTAGTCAAGCTTCTGTGTACGCAACAGTCGCATGGATATACTACATTTTCTACGTGCCCTGGACACTCTTACTCACCTAGCGGTGCATAAACATCTAGCCATAATCCGCATCAAAGCGAAGCTCTTCAATATATCGCTGTTTTGCCCAAATGCTGTGACGGAAAAGAATCCAAAATTGTGCCACGTTGGGAAGTATGGGTTTTTTTGACACCACTGTCGGAAGACTTAGCTTCCACGACTGATCGACTTTTTCGGGACCCGAAATATAGTTGTCTGTGGTACTATGTTGATTGTTTCAAGATCGAAAAACGGACCTTGAATTCTAAGTGCACTCATCAGTGAAACGATATATCGGAATCGCGGGAGGGCAATCCAAGCTCTTATGTTCATCTACATCATTCGCAAAGGTCTAAAAGAAGTTAGAACGACGTTTAAATAAAATAGAAAGAGGCCGAGATGTTGAAAAGAAGAGCTTGCGAAGAGTATACTGAGTTTATGCAGAGAAAACTCCTGCTTAATGGCAGGAAAAATGGAACTTCAGAAGATTGCGAACCCAAATCCCCGTTTGAAGATGATTGAACAGGTGTTTTCTCGTTCAACTACTAATCCATTCGAATAGCAATTGCCGTCTTGAAAAACAAAAAATCGGCGCGGCCAATGGATTGCCGGACGAGTTATACAAGCACTGCATAATATGGCCGCCTGAAAGCATTTCCGACTTCAGTATTGTACATACACATTTTATACAAATAGATCAAAAACGAATAAAGTTAAAAAGAATTTCAAAATTTAAAAAGTTTTTTGACAGTTAAAAATATGTTTCAAAAGCATGAAACAAATAAACACACCTCCGGCTGATAACAAAGATTAGAAGAGGTTAGCTATATGTTAGTTTATGGAGTAAATCAATGTATGTAACAAGGATGTATGAGCACATATACAAGGGGAAAGTGGGTAAAATCTTTACGGGCTGTCAGAAATTACATGTGCTGTTACCCAGTTTTTTAACTAGTTTTGAGCAAACGGTTGCTCACGTTATTTAGTTTTTTACCCAGGTTTGGTTGGCAGGGACTTAACGCATTTACATATTTGGTCCATGTGTAGTAAATATGCGATATTTTTTACAATTCTTTCAAGAAAAACTATGTAATAATGGCTACTTTTTTAAATAAATGTTATAACTTTTTCTTTATTACTTTTTTGAAGCTTTCTTAAATGCACCATAAAACCTTTAATTTTAGGAATAATACAAACTCTTGTATTAATTTGGCAAAATAACTCTCAACTTTCATTAAATGTTGGGTTAAGGACTTCAATAGCCAATTCATTACCATATTAGACCCAGTTGTATGAAATCCAGAATATCAATTCAATAAAGATAAATTGGAATATGTATATACGAAATTTTTACTATCGTGTTAAGCAGCTTACTCTGGAATGCGAATAAGATTATAATCGTTAAGCGATGTTTGAAGATTATTTTGAACTGAATTGATAAGAGGTGTTATCATCCCGTTAAGATCATCTAGATCCCTTTTATTGTGTTCGTGCAAAGCCAACGTTTGGGCAAAGGTTTTAATACTCTTTCATCTGCTTTGATTCTTTTAAGCCTTATTTATGCATCAAGAATTAATCACTTGAAATGAATAAGTAATTTCCTCCTCCTTTTTTATGTAATCTATAGCAGCTGGTGAACAAATCTGTAGCTGTTTAGTGTAAGAGGCAAGAGGGCATTCCAGACTGTCACTGGGTTTTAGTTCTGTCCCGACCAACATCCAAAATTATAGAAAATCTAAATAAAACAATTAACTTATATTTTTTTATTTGCGGTAGTCATTCGGCTGGGAATGTTATGCCCTTCAATTGTGTTTCTGACATGAAATAAAGGCTTCTCACAAAAATTTGTCAGATGTTTTCGATGTAGCTTAGTATTAAGTCTAGGTCTCTATATTTTTTGGGAAAATATCAAGACGCACATCATAAATATGAGGAGGAGCTCGGCTGAAACACATTTTAGCAGTTATAAAGCGGTAATTATATAAATAATGTTTGTATACATATATACATACATATTTTTCAAAAAATAATTTATCTTCAATATTTATTTTGTATAAATCCCCCGAAATTTCCGATTTTTGTTTCTTTCATTCGCTTTCTATTCAAATTCGTAAATACAACGTTGAGCTAAGGCTCATAGTCTCTTTTCATTGTACGTACTTCACCCGTATATTTTCAGGTTATAACAAGGGCGAAATCATATATAACATGTTTCTTTACAATATATTTATGAAATATAAATTGAACGAAATAATAAATATATTTCTATAAAAACATTTAAAAGATTTTCCTTTTTAGAGAAACACAAAATGATATTACAAATAAAAATGTATAAGAAAATACATACACGTATGTACATATGTATAATTTTATCCATTTTATGAACACTTATATTTAAGGTACTAAGAATAATTAATTCTAGGCAAACCCATTAGGAAGGTAAATAAGTTGAAAGAAGCGATAAGTTCTTCAAATTATTAACCTTAGAAGAGTGGCCCTTATACCACAACACGTGCGGGATAATATTGACATTATCGGGCTCAACAACCGCGCCGTGAGTTCCGCTTTCGATTTGGGTCTGATGGTGAACGCGGGCAAGACGAAATATCTACTGTAATCCAACAAAGCGTTACCGCATACGCGACTTGGCTAAACTCTACAATTCCCTCACCGTTCACACCCTGCTATGTGATGCGGAAGCATGGATGATGACAACATCTGATGAGCTGGCGTACTTTTCGAGAAAAAGGTTTTGAGTGATATCTATGGTCCTTTACGAGTTGAGAACGGCGAATATCGCAGACGAAGGAACGATGAGCTGTACGAGTTTTATGGCGACGTTGACATAGTTAACGACCTGGCTCTAATTGATATCTCCAATTGGATCCAAACAGCGAAAAGAGAAAACGAATGGCGCAGTGTTGTTAACTCGGCTATAATCGCGCAGCGGTGTCTATGATAGTTTAGTAAGTAAGTAATATGTATGTGTTTACACGTACACTTCAATTTTTGTATTTCCTTACTTGACGCTGTCCCTTTCGGCAAACAGAGAATATTGTGACTATTGTAGGTGGAAAATCCGTCCCGCATGTTCATATTAGAAAAAATTTTAAGCCAAGTGTTAGTGGTTACAAAAAATACGATAACTCAAATTTAATGGGGAATTTTTATTATCATTCTTAGGAACATTTTTTGATATATAAATTTTTTTTAAAATTATCTCTTTCAGATGTTGGTCATGACTACGTCACAGAAGCGGATATCCCCAAAGAAAAAAGTCCAAAAGTGTGTAATATCATCATGTATATCTTGGTGGCCAATCGAACGGCTCAAAACGTGAAATCATTTACTCACCAAAGTGATTTCTCATCGACGGTTACGTTCTCACCGACATCATTTTTGAAACAATATGGACCGATGATGTTTTTGATTTTTACAATTTTCCTCAGTTTTATTGAAAAAGGAGATTCTATCGAAAGTGGATCTATATTTTGAGCGAAAAAATGACAAAAAATATAATGATTTTTTGTAAGCGATATTTTTTCGGTCACAGTAATAATTACTCGGAAAAATATTTATTATTCCCCAATTAAAATTATGAAGATCATTTAATGATCAATTAATGCAGATAAATAAAACGGAAGTGGTCGGCTACTGGTAAAGTCATTTTGTTTATGCTACTTCTTTAAAGAGATAATTTTTCTATTAAATAATATACAGATAATCATTATTTACAGTCCCTGTTCTATTTATACGAATTTTAATCAACACGATCTAAAAAGAAAAACTTAGAATTATTACACTATGATTAATCACGAAATAAATCAACTACATATATTTGAAATTCAAAACAAATACATATCTTACGATACATGAAGAAGACACTCTTATTTCTATGAATGATGATTATTCTCCATATAAAGGACTTTTTTCAAGCTCCTTGTACACTCAACACTGAACACAGAATTTTTAGAGAATATTACATTCTCTATAACCGAAACAGTTGATAGCTAAAGTTCGGTTAGTGGTTATGTCTGTATGTAATTATATTTTACAAATAACTCAATAATGTCTAACATCATTATACTATCCTATTTAAGTACATGTAATGCACTGTTTTGGTCGGTATAGCTGGTTCAAAACCATTCCAGCTTATTTTTTGCATTCTTGCATTTCTCTCTGCTAAATACATGTGCTCCAATACCATTACTATATATACATATACTATATACGAGTATATTAACAATAAAAACCTGTAAGCAAAGCGCTGGTGGTATCAGTTGCTGGTCTATTATGATGACTCGGTATGCTTGTATAGCTGGCAGTTCGGCTGGCATCGTTGTTGGTCTCTTGAATGCGACAAGCACTACGAGCGTTTCTGTGCTTACAATTTACGTCTCCACCGAATATTTTTCTTAACTTTAATTCAGTCACACGGAAGAGATTCAAGTGAGCGAACGAATATTGGTCGGGAATGTGGAGCGCGCTCCAACTAAGTAAAACAACAATCTAACGTACACGTGCAAAAGCGCTACATTTATAAAGCCGGCGGCCAGTAGTAATATAAACAGTGACGCCAACCCACAAAAAGTGCTATGTTATTTTAGTAGACTTTTTTTTATAATTATTACATTTCTTCTGAATTGTGCTATAGTGTTTCGTACTAGAGACGTTTCATTTGCTTGATGGTTAGTAATGCTGT